AGCTGCCGTTGCAGGAAAGACGGCCGGCAAAAATCACCGACTGTGTGAACGTGAACATTAATAGAATATCACCTCCCATCTTCAGAGCAATCTGACTATTATAACATTAGAGTTAAGAAAGCTTACTTAAATATCTGCCACAACATAAGTAACCGGATCAGAGTAACATTAAGTACAGTCCGCGGCATATCACATCATAATGTATCATATATCTCCTTATCTGAGTCAGCTGAGCCGTATCTGGCCGTGCAACACTCACAGTGTCACATACTGGATGCAGAAGGATTATTTGAAGCAACACATTAAGTTGAGGAAACACTCGAGTCAAATGTAATGAAAGTCAGATGGTGTCTTAGACGGGGCAGTGATATCATAAACCTGTTAATGTACGCATTCAAACACTTGTTCTGTTACCAGCTGTATTCACCTTGCAGGTGCAGCTATGTGGCTTTGATCCTGGATCAAGTGTTTAAGTCATGGATGTTTAAAGTTTAACTTCTTCATATGTCTAATATTATAGTTGACTTTTCATTCAGGAAGTATGACGCTGCGCTGTCAGTACGCTTCTCCATGTTTGTGATTGGTCGAATGCTCCAGATACCACCCCTTTCATGTGAACGCGCACCTAACTAGATAGGACACGGCTGGCTTGAGCGATCCACTTGATAACCAGCGTCGTAGGACCGTTTAGCGAGAGCGCGTATGTTTTGGATTAGGCCAACCGGCTAACTCAAACATATCCAGGTTAGGTTGAACCAGCTTCGTAGTGCAGGCCTCTGGACACAGCCTGTCACATGACTGCATCCTCCAGGATCCTGAAACCATTTAAGGGTTAATTACATCAATAAGTATCACTAATTGAAACGGCTATAATTGATATCAATTCATTAATTTAATATGTAGAAATTTCAACTGTTGATATTTAAGAGAATGGAGAAACTGCAGCCAGTAAAGGTGTTTTCAGGTGTTGTTTCTGTCCCTCTGGGTTGTTGTTGTTGTTGTTGTTCATAATTTAATAAAATCTTCTTCTTCTCCTCTTCCTCAGTGCGTACATGGGTCGTGGGGGAAACCCTCTGTTTTCAGTTCATGATAATCTGAGCCCCGTTGTGAGCGTGGAGCAGAACTTCGACAGGTAGATTCAATCAGGACAGCTTTTTATTATATATCTATTTATAGATATTTAAATTTCATGGAGTTAATATTGCCTCTGATTTGATTGACAGCTTGCTGATCCCGCCCACCCACCCGAGCAGAAAAAAAGGGGACAACTACTACCTGAACAGGTGAGTCCAAACACCCACAATGCACCTGTCTGGAGGCTGAATGTGACATGAATTGGTGAATGAACTCCTCGTCCTCCAGGAGCAGGATGCTGCGCGCTCACACCTCCGCCCACCAGAGGGAGCTGGTGCTCTCCGGTCTCGACGCCTTCCTGTTGGCCGGAGACGTTTACAGACGAGACGAAATCGACTCCTCGCATTATCCCGTCTTCCACCAGATGGAGGGCGTCCGCCTCTACTCCAATCACGAGGTACCTGAACACACCTGAGACAAAAACACACCTGTGAAATGCTGCCAATGGGACGCTTCCTCTACCTCAGGTGTGCCCAAACTACGGCCCGGGGGCCAAACTACGGCCCGGGGTCCAAACTACGGCCCGGGGGCCAAACTACGGCCCGGGGGCCAAACTACGGCCCGGGGGCCCTTTTGAATCGGCCTCAGAGTCTTTTCGATCAATGTTTATTCATAGAGCCCAATATCACAAATGTTACATGTGTCTCAGTGGACTTCACAGTCTGTAAAGAATATCAATATGACACCCTCTGTCCTCAGACCCTCTGTCCTCAGACCCTCTGTCCTCAGACCCTCTGTCCTCAGACCCTCTGTCCTCAGACCCTCTGTCCTCAGACCCTCTGTCCTCAGACCCTCTGTCCTCGGACCCTCTGTCCCTCTGTCCTCAGACCCTCTGTCCTCAGACCCTCTGTCCTTAGACCCTCTGTCCTCAGACTCTCTGTCCTTAGACTCTTTGTCCTCGGACCCTCTGTCCTCAGACCCTCAGTCCTCAGACCCTCTGTCCTCAGACCCTTTGTCCTCAGACCCTCTGTCCTTAGACCCTCTGTCCTTAGACCCTCTGTCCTCGGACCCTCTGTCCCTCTGTCCTCAGACCCTCTGTCCTCGGACCCTCTGTCCCTCTGTCCTCAGACCCTCTGTCCTTAGATCCTCTGTCCTTAGACCCTCTGTCCTTAGATCCTCTGTCCTCAGACCCTCTGTCCTTAGACCCTCTGTCCTCAGACCCTCTGTCCTCAGACCCTCTGTCCTCAGACCCTCTGTCCTCAGACCCTCTGTCCTCGGACCCTCTGTCCCTCTGTCCTCAGACCCTCTGTCCTCAGACCCTCTGTCCTTAGACCCTCTGTCCTCAGACCCTCTGTCCTCGGAC